AGAAGAAAGTAAAGAACATAACTCCAACTTAAATTTGTCCATACACAACCAGGGGGGTCACAGGGTTGTTACGGAAGGAGGAACACCAAAGAGGCCATAAGGAGCCAGTCCCAGCAGCTGCCTCCCAGGCCCTTCCTTACATTCAAGGGCTGACACCCCGTTCTCTGTTCTTGGCAGCTGCCCGCCCCTTCCCACCCCCTCACCCCAGACGCTGTGCTTGTGGATGGACCAGCCGAACCAGCCCTGGAGGGTCTGGCCTGACCCGGACAGACTCTGCCTCTTCCCCCAGGGAAGGTGGAGAACAGGCGGTGGGGACAGGCCACCCAAGAGCAAGGCCTCACAGTGGCGGTGGTAGTCATGGGGAGGCAAAGGCCAAGCTGAACGCGCGAGGGTGGAGCATACGGAGGGGACTGTAAGGGGGGAAGAGGGAATTTACCCCCTGATGGGGCAGGGAGGAGAAGGAGAGGGAGAAGGAGGAGAAGGAGAAGCCAGGCAGAGGATGCCCTCTCTCCACTTGGGAACAGGGGTGGGTTGGGGTGGCCCTGCAGAGAGCTGCCCTAGTAGGATGGCCAGGGAGAGGTACGGAGACACCTCCCCAGGGCGCGTGGGGGGACAGTCAAGGGGAGGCAGACCAAGAATGCCCCTCACAGTACAAGGCCAAAGTGGCGGAGGGACGGGCTGGGGAACGCGTGCGTGTGTAGGGGGACGCAACAGATGCTCCCCTCGGCCCCTTCTTCAGGGAAGAACTCAAAAATGCCTGCTCAGACAGGGTGGGCAGAGGGCAGCTGAGAAACCCCCTACGAGAAACCCCCATAACCTGGTAGGGTGTGGCAAAAAGTGTCCGGCCCACACCAAGCTACCATGAGAAGGCTCCCTCCTGCTCAGACGGTGTGACAGCAGCCGGCTGGCTCCAGCAGGAGGACACAGCTCCATGAGGCTCCTCTTGGCTGTGGCTCATGCGGAAGGAGGTGGTGAYGGTGGAGAGGACATTCTCCAGGTTCCTGGAGGCTTTGTGTCCTTCTGACGCAGCTGAGCTTTCCAGTCAGCAACAAGCATGGCAAATGTGCTTTAGGGGCCCTGGGTCCAGCTCCTAGCTGTATGGCAGCTGCTGTAACGCTGAGCTCTGCCCTACACAGAGGGGTCACAGCTCATCATGAAGTCTGCCCAGATACTTTTCTCCAGGCACTGCTGACTTACTCTGCACCTCCTCTCAGAGAGCCTTCACCCCTGCACTCAACCCTTTTCCTTGTTGTTCCCTTGGTCTCTTTATCATCCCATTCCTTCCACTGTGGCCATCTCTTCCCAGGTCTTTCCAGCCTGTTCCTCTCCTTCATCTTCTCCATCTCCATCTATCTTTTTCCTCCTTGCCTCACCACTCCTTGGTCCCACCATGCCTTCTTCACCCCTACTGTGCCTGCCGCTCCTCTTTCAGCTCCTTTTCCATCTTCCTCCTGCTTCTTCCCCTCCTTCTTTCAAGCCTGCCAGGCAGAGCCTCCTCCAGCAAGGCAGGCTGATTAGCATTGCAAACACACAGAGGCCTCCTCAGCCCGACATAATTCTTCATTTGTCAGTCATGAATATTTCACACCTGCCTCAAGAGGGATTTATTCAGCACGGAAGAGTGGGGAGGGGGAGAAGGGAATATGGTACTGCAGCATAAACTGGGGCAGCACCAGCAGATATGGGAAAGAGCTCTGCCCCATGGGAACAGCATGCCTAGAGTCTCACCTTCATTCTCCTGGGTGCAGGATCCCAGCCCAGGCTTCTTCCCAAGGCTGTTCCTGGGAATAGAGGGCAGGTCTGCACCCACCCTCATTCCTCACCATCTACAATTTCCAGTGAGGTGAATTAAAACCCTGATTTCTCTGCCAGTAGTCACCAAGCCAGAAATGAAGTGTGAAAGGGTCTGGTCTTGGTTCAGCCCCAGAACTCCCACTTGGTCCTGGAAGAAGGCAGCATTGAGGAACTTGCCAAAGACAAGGCATAGAGGGCTTAGAAACTGAAGTCTCATCATGGCCTGCCCTCTCCCAGGGCCACCCAGGGGAGAGAATAGGTAGGACAGACCTAATCCAGAGGTGTATGCAATCAATGAGAAGAAGGTGATGGGAGGTCTTTTAAGTGATTGTAACCAGCTCCACCTCAAGTTTCCACTGTATCAGAGGTTTCCCTTCAGCTAAAACACTCCATGTTCCTTCAAGCATAACCTTGCTTATAGATCTGGGGAAAAAGCAATGAGGGCAAAGGGATGGTATTGACCATTTCACCCACAAGATCTATTTTGACAGGCTTCACTCCTGTTCCTCAGTATCTAGTAAATATGATGGCCACTAAGAAGGCCTTTGGTATATAACACATCCCCCTTTACACACATGACCATGAAAAGCAGCTGAGAGACCACAATGGGAGCAAGGGAAAGGGGGGCATTGGAGAGAAGAAGGAATGAGGTTTATGGGGTGGATTGGTTTGTGTTCTCTTTGGGGTATGTTCCCTCCCAAACTGGTAGGAGTCTCTCATAAAAATCACATCAGGGATGAATGAAAGGAGCAGAGAAAACAGGGACAAAGGACAGGAGAGACTTTGAGGGAGGAGGTTAAATTTCAACAAACTGGCACATACACAACAGGTGTTTGCTCAGAAAAATACAGTAAAATTGTCATGCAAATAGAACATTAAATCTGCTTTCCTCCCACAGGGCTGGCATCACTTTGTGAGCCCTCATCCCGAGGGAGGGAACAGGACAAAGAAGAAGGGAGGAGSAAGGAAGGTGAGACACTTTGTTCCCTTTCCTTGCCCTCTTCCTCCCACGGAACAGTCCATCTTGTGCAAACTTCATCCAATGGTTTGGAGTGGAGGGCTACAGCTGGGAGAGAAATGGCTTTTCCCTCCTATCCAGCCTCACCCCCCGCCCCACCACAGAAAAAAGGACCTGATGATAGCTGTATCCCTGACCTTTCTTTTCTGCCTCATTGAGGTGTTGAGGGGAGAAAGAAGAAACCTTTACAGGTTAATGCTCCTCCCCAAAGTATTGACTGAGTAGAACTGTTTACAAGACCATACAGCAGAGAAGCACAGGGTGGGAAGAGTTGGGGAGAGGAAAAAGAGTCCGTCCCCCCTTGCCCATCATTCCCCTTTTCCTGTCCAATTCTGTGCCCCAGCCATTAGTCTTTTCTGCTTGGATGGCTGCCATGCTGGAAGACCACTGTGGTAGCTGGGGAGGTTTCTGTAGTGCCTAAGCATCTCTCACAGTATTTTTCTGTCTTGGTTTGCTGCATGGTCCCATTCATGGACAGATACYTGCCAGCAGTGACGTGACTTCCCTTTTTGACTTCCCTTCATCCTCCTGCACTCACACCTTTTCCTCTGGGTTGGACTGGCTCTTGCTGTGTGAAGTCAGTCCCGTGAACACCTCTGGACTCAAGGCAAAACAATGCTTTGACTGTGGGAAAGCAGGCTGATAGTGAAGACTGAGGCAATGGGATCAGACCTGGCTTAGGTTTGTTACCTATCAGCATACCTACAAGGAAGAAACTCAACAGATCTTCATAGGTTTACACTTTGGGGATACCTGTTCTGGTTTTCATGCACCAGACTCTGCCTGCTGCTCCTCCTCATTTCCAGAAGGTGAAATTATGCCATCTCTAGCATACAAGCCAGCTSTCACAGCTGGCAGTGCTACGACCTGGCAGATAACAAGCAAGTTCTCTGCATGCAGCACGTAAATCCCTCCTAGAGACACTCYTACACCCTCATCCTTTTTCCAGGGCCCCCAAAAACACAGGGTCTTCTGAGGAACACCTCAAAGAGGAAATAACTGCTTAAGGGAGGGCCGACACAACGTAGGCCCTCACCCTCATCCTGACAGAGGGTGAACAATAGTCAAGGTCACCATTGGGCAGATCATGGAGAGGAGGCTCACTGTGCTCCATAAAGACATGTTCAGCAGGCAGCACCCCTGCCTGACAGAAAAACTTTGGGGGAGATGGTGCCAAGATTGTGCTTTGTTGGGCTAATCATAAATGGGGCCAGGTGGAGAGGGCAGTAGGCTCATTCCCAGCTCTGTGACAGATCTTCTACCCAAGAGGCAGAGGTTGAGACCTAGCAAGTGCAGCTGGGGTTTTGCCAAGACATGAAATGATCCCTAAGAGAAGTTTGTCACACCTGTGAGGAGGGTGAGGATTTAGGAGGTGATATGTTGCTCTGACTCTCATGAGTAATCAGAGGAACACTGTCATCAGGAGGCTGGTATCCTCTTCTGTCCCAGCACAAATAGTGTGGTACACACAAGGGAGCTTCTTCCAGGCCATCCTTCTTGGGCTACTCCCAGGCCTCCCAGGTGCTCTCACACTGTTTTTTTCCCTGTGCTTCCGTCTTTGCCCTAGGCTGTCCCCTATCCATGCCAAAACATCCATGGCCTGTTCAAGGGAAAGACTCTTTGTGAGGCCAGCACAGCAAGAGGAGCAACTGAAATCCTGTTCCTGTTCTGAGGAGGTTGAGTGATGCTCTTCTCATGGAAGAAGCATCACCCCACAGCACCCGCTGCAAGTCAGTTGGGAAGAGCTGCAGAAGCTTCATGGAGAACTTGTTCTGCTGAGGTCCTCTCCAGGTCCCTTCCTAAAAGTAAGGGGGACATAAACAGGGACTATTAAACTGACTACACAAGGCAGCCTGAGCATAGTTTTGTGCAGTGGGGCAGACCTCTGACCTGTAATGTTTGTGGAGATGGGAACCCTTTATAACCCCGAGAGACCAGATCTTCCTGCCTTTTTCTCCATCACTCCTTGAGGACCTGGTTTGCCATGCCAAAGAGAACATTCACAACCTGTTTCTCCCCACCAACTGGCAGAAAAACAGCTCYGAGAAGGCCTAGAGAATGTCTGTCATTCCAGAATTGCTGGTGTTCATCAGCAGCAACATGGCAGGAGAAGGGAAGGAGGAGGAGCAGGTAGGGCACAGAGCCTGTTTTACAGCAGGTACTATCACCTTTGGTCCTTCACATCTCCTTGCCTTCCCCTGAGGAGGATGGAGGCTTGTGAAGGATCTAGACAGAAAGTTCCAGCCTAGGGACCCTTAACAGAGAGGGATAGGAAAGGGCAAAGGAAAAGAAGGGAGGGAACTTCTTCCAACAAATCCCACCTGTCTTGGAAGGGGATGGTAGAAAGAGAAAAGCTTCCACTACTAAAGAAAATTAGGGAAAAAGTTAGTGATGGAGGATTTGGCATAGCAGGTRTACAAGGTGGACAAGGAAGCTTTCTAAACCAAAGTCCTTCCTTCCCACCAAAAGAAAAATCAGCCTACAACAGGAACAAAAAGATGAATAGTTCACAGCTGAGTTTCATGCCTGGTGACTGTCCATCACTGCCCCTCCCCTGCCACCACTGCCACCCACTTCCAGGCCATTGCYACCACACTCCAGGGTTGTTACCACAGTGTCAGAGCAGGACACTCCTCCCAACCATCTGTGGGCAGAACAATGGTCCCCATAACACAGTAGAGACAATTCGGCGTGTGTGTGTGTGTCAGTGTGTGTGTCTGTACGTGTGAGAGTTGTTGTAAACTTTAAGAAAAGGTTTTGTCAGTTTTGTATTTGTCAGGAGTATTTTGTTGTTGGTTTATTTTTCACAGTCAAGTGGCTTTTTTTTCTGGTTGTTGGAGGGGGGTCTTGGTTTGTATTGTTTCCTTGCAAGGAAGAGTCACAGCTTCTGCTGAGCAGAGACTCCTTTCCAGTAATCCAGGATGTCATGCAGATCCTCGTCCTTGGCAAATTGAACTTTCTTCCGCAGGGCATGCCCAGCTGCCATGTAAACCTCCTCCCTGTGATGCTTCTTGTAAGGCCGGAATCGCTCCCAGATCTTGTGGGTGCTCTCTGAGGAGTACTCAGGGCTAGAGGAGTAGCCCGAAAAGTAGTGTCTAGGGGAGAGCTGGGAGTATGTGGAGTCTCGCTTGGAGCGGGAGAGCGGCTTGAGGAATGAAACCCGCTGGCTCAAGGTGTCAGCACTTTCCTCGTAGTACAGGGCTGGAAAGGAATGACGGTGCTCGCTGCAGTGGTAAGAAGGCTTGACTTCCAAGTGGTGGATGGCACTYGGAGACACCAAGGGAAGACGATCCAAAGGGCTGTTAAGTGGGCTACCCTTCTCAATGTATTTGGAGTCAGACTTGCTGAGCGGTGGATGGTCAGGCACATCCAAGCTGAAGACCTTAGTGCTCTTGATGGAGCCACTGGAGGAGACACTGCAGGTTTTTCTGGCCACAGCAGCATCAGCACTGAGCTGGCGCTGCAAAGGGTGGTGGGAGCTTTCCTTGTAGGGTGGGGAAAGAAAGCTGGGCCGCTCTAGCCCACTTGAGGAACCGGTTGGGATGGACTGGCACTCAAAGGCCATGTCTGAGTCAACACCAGTCCCACCACCCAGGAAGGACGCTGTGTCCAGTTTGAGGGCATCAATACAGTTGTTGATGATCTGGTTGACCTTGTCTACCTCCTTGGCTATAGTAGAGATCTCAGCAGCTGAGCCTTGCCCATTGTCAAGCTCCCTCAGGTCCTCATCCCGCGGGGTTCTCTCTAGCCCATCCCCACCACCAGTCCGCACCTCAATGTAGTTACCTTTTGTGGTGACTTTAGGAGTCTCCAGCCCAGCTTCCATTGACTTTGATGGGGGCAACTTCTCCCCAATCATGGAAGGGATGGAGGACATCCGTGAGACAGGGATGACAGGTGGCTCACCCAGCTTCTGGGAAGGATGGACCATGGTACTGGTATCAATATCTGATCCATAACGCATTTCCAGAATGGTCTTTTTGACATTGAGTGACTTTTGTTTCTCCTCCTGCATCCTCCTCTTCCGCAGGCAGTAGTACACCACCCCCAGGACAATGACCATCCCAAAGAGGCAACCAAGGGTGGTCATAATATAGTGTGTAGTGGTGGAAGTACTAGAAATAGGATCCTCCCTGCCTTTGCTCCGCGTTGCAAAGGTCAGGCAAGTATGGTTGTAACGCCTGTTGTTGCGGATAGAGGCCACACAGAATGTATAATCAGTGTGGGCCTTCAGCTTGTTAACAGTGACGTATTCCTTCTTGCTCTTCAGTGTTGCTATGTCAGAAACGTAGCTGTTGTTGTATTGGACCAGCACATACATCTTACTGTAGGGCATCGGGATGGTGACCATCAGGATGGCTGAAGTGATGGTGACATCATGTAGCTTGATGCTGGGACTGAAGGAAGAGTCAGTGGTGGACGAGGCTGGAGGCTTGACTGAGAGGAAATCCCCAGGGCTGATGGCTGAGCCCTCATCCAGGTCTCGCTGGGAGTCAGTGGTGTAAGGGGTGGGGTTGATCCTGGAGAGGGAGGGGATGGTGCCCCCTCTGCACATGGACTGGAAGATGGTGATGGCATTGCGGTTGTGGTGAGGCCGAGGCACCAGAAGYGGGTACCCAGCAAACTCCCGCGGAGTCTCACACTGGAGGCGGTCATAGTTCTTGGTGACATTGTTGAAGAGAGCCAGCCAGTTAAGAAAGCCATAGAGGCTACAGTCGCAGTTGAAGGGGTTGCCAGCCAGCTCGCACACCATCAGGTTGCTCAAACTGGTGAAAGTGTTCCCCTCCAGACGGCTGAGGCGGTTGGATGACAGGTCAATGCTGATCAAGCTGGGGCACTCAGAGAAGGCAGTAGGGGTGACCAGCTCAATTAGGTTATGCTGCACAAAGAGGAACTGGAGACGGGCCATGCCCCGCAACATGCCCTCTGTCAGGTTGGTGAGTTTATTGTAGCCCAGCTGTAAGACCTGGAGGTTTGACTGACCCATGAAAGCCCCATCCTCAATGTAGGAGATCTCATTCTTGGTCAGGTTCAAATCAGTCAGATTGCCRAACCGGTTGAGGGAGGAGTACAACACCACTTTGAGCTTATTCTCGTTCAGACGCAAGTCGTGCACTGTGCTGTTGATATGCTGGGGGATGGTCTCATATGGGGGCTGGTTCTGGCTGCAGATGGCCAGCCACACATACCCCTTGTCCCCCTCGATCAACCAGCAGTCACCTCGCACGGCACCAGGGGAAAACAAGCAGAGCAGGGCAGCTGCCCACAGCCCCAGGCACAGCATGGTCTGCAGTGGTGCCCTCATCAGGATGGGGAAAAAAAATCCCCAACAAAAACCAACGCCAAATCTCAGGACAACAGCAAAAGGAAACTAGGGAGCAGGAACTGGGGCTTAGCAATGGAAGGGAATTAGCACCCCAGTCCTAGCAGTTGTCATCACCATTGTTTCTTCTTGCCCTCTGGATCAAGCCAGGAGCATGRAGGAAGTGGAACACATGCAATCTTCCTCCAGAACACCCAAAAGCTCTGACCATGGATATTTGGTCTGGAAGGGAACTACCTTGTGCTTCTTTTCTAAACAAAAATTCAGGCCTCGGATAATGAATATTGTTGGATGCTCATGAGTGACTGACACACCTTTTCCAATTTCCTCCCACCCACCCCCCACCCACACCAAACCCACCCCAAGACAAACCCAAGTCCTTCCCCCTCTTGTCTTCCCCCACCCCTCCACAGTGTGATTTGGAAGAACAAGGCAGGGGTGCCTCCTGTGTCGCTCACGCTCCCTCGGTTTCTACTCCTTCTCTTCTTTCTTTCCTAGGTTCCCTCTGAGAAGCTTCAGAGCTTCTGATCAAATATGTCGAAAACAAAAATACAGAGAGGGAAAGAGCAAGTGTTCACGAGAGAGATCCATCTGTCACTGGAATCTGGAAAAGAAAACACAGGAGACAAGAAGAGGCATAATTTGGAAGGGTCTTTGAGATAAGAGTATAGACAGCRATGTTTCATGAGAAGAGGGAGATGGGGAAGAGACACATTAAGGGGGGTGCAAGCAAGAGAGGTGTGGTACCGCCTGCCGTGCTGATAAGCCTTTGAGGAGGGAACCCTGATGATGTATAATGTCATACCAGGGGTATGCAGAAGTGTATCTGGGCTCCCTTAAGTAGTGTGATCACAGCCAGGGACCTGGGGGGAGGCGGTGGCGTGGGAGTAGGAGGAGAAGGGAAAGGAGAGTGGGAAACATAAAGCTATTATTGTGGGGGCTCAAAACCCCTAGTGTAAACAAAGGCAAGCCCCAAGCACAGCCAAAGCCACGGATTTTTCAACTGCCTGAAAATTATGTACACAGAATGCATGAAGCAAGGAAAATGCGGACAAGATTCTCCCCTCCGACACCCCCAAAAAAAGACAAACTTTTTTTTTTTTTTCCTTTCTTTCCTTCCTTGATGCAAGAGGGATGAATAATTCAAGCCACGTGTAACCACTTCTGCTCTAAAAATTGTTCCTGACTCTTGGTGCATGGACAAGGCTGTTGAGGTGAACCAGTCTGGCTTGAGCATAGTGCAGGGGGTGGGGAGCAGGCAGTGTGTCAAATACCAGCCTCCAGTTTCTCACTACCCAGTAATGCCAGCATCCCTGATCTGAAGCACATCACCCATCTACCCCCCACCAAAGAGAGGTGCACAGTTTCCACCTTTGTTTTTTACCACCTCTGCTTGGGGTCTTTGAAAACAGCCCCTTTGTAAGAAAACGCACCTTGCAGGCAAAGTGACATTTGTTTGTTAAACCACAACAAATGGATTTCTGCGCACAGAGAGAAACTCCAAGGCCAGCACCATGTTTCTCTGCAGCAGTCCCAGCAAGTGCTGAGAGCCACTCCATCCCTCTCAAGGAGCTGCACTCAGGCAGGACAGAGAGGATTTGGAAGAGCAGATGTCCTAGTAGCCTGGAAAGGAAAGACATGGTAGGGTGAGGGGTGGATGGAATTGAAGGCYGTGTTTGTTGTTCCTATGTGCCAAAACCAAGGGGACCGTGCAGAAATTCCTGCTTCCTCTCTACCTCCCACCTTGGCCATGTAGCCTTGCCTCAGCCAGAGGCCACAGGAAGGGTCAAGCCACTCGTCAAGCCAAACTCATTGGTCCCCTTGGGTCCCCAAAGTAAGAGAAACACAGAGACCCTGATGTTCTTTCCCCAGTGGTTCCTGTCTCCCCACTATCATGCTGGTTTTAAGGGCCCCGAGTCCAGCCCAATACATGCCCTATTCCACTCCTGCCCATGGCCCAGCACCCCATTTCAGCTCAGCTCAATGCCATCAGWCCCTGCTGCAGCAATGCTGTAGGACTGCTCATCTCCAACTCCACCACAGCCATAGCCTGCCCTTTAGTGGACAGCTGCTCCTTGACCCTGGAAATTGATAGTTAAAGGGAGGCCAGGAATGAGGGGCAGCACTATGCCCTCCCTTAACTGTCTACAGCCAAAAGAACATAAATCACACAGCGCTGGAGTCCAMCAGCACAAGGAAGCGACACTCTGTCCTTTTTGCTGGCTTGAAAGGTGCTGACAATGGAGTTGGCTGTTTCCTTCCCTTGCTTCTCAGGCAACAGAGCAAGAAGGCACAGAGAGGTGGAGGGTGGACAGGAAAAGCAGGGATGAGCAAGTCCAGAACAGGAGAGAGCCAAGGAAGGGGGATGCAAGAGTTGTGGAGAGCTTATGGACAAGGGGAAAAGTTAGGACATGAGATATGTTTTATAGGGAAGGTACAAGGCAACCACCTCCACGTTCTGGATTTACCCAGCTGTAGGGTTCCAATACTCTTCAGTGTCACCCACAATTTACAGCAAGACCTTGGTTCCTGGCATCCTCACGTACGTGTGAACATCAAGGAACAGTAGTGACACTGCACCCGTGAAAGGCTGCTCTCTCCTTGGCTGGCACAAAGTCAGCCTATCAGCTCCCAGTGATTTCCCTCTGGTTTATTCTCCGTTAATGGATGCCTCAATGTTATTAGCATTTATTTGCACCACTTTGTTTGGAAAAATGCAGAAGGCCACAGGGATGGTTCCATTGTTCAGAGGGAAGAAAAGGAAGGGAAGGTGAAACAGAAGGCTGAGAGCCCTAGGTCTGAGTCAGGTGTTGATGGCCACAGACATTCCTTTGACTTGGAGCTCAAGGTAGCTCAGGGGATGACACAGGATTGCAGTCACTAGTGAGAGGATAGGATAAAGTACAGCCAGGGAAAGCATGGACTGACAAGATAGGAGGGACTGAGGCAAACTGGGCCTGAAAGAGTGGAAGGACCAAAACTGAGAGAGAATATGAGGAAACCAGAAAAGCCACATACAGCAGCAATTTGGGCCTAAAATTCTGAYCTTGTCAACCTTGTCCTCCTGAGGCCCCATGCACTGGAAAAACCAGCACTTAATTCTACCATCGCTTAAACGGTGCTAAGAGCCTCCCATTAGAAATGCATGCATTAAAAACCTGCCAAACACTCTTGACTTCTCTGGGGACACCCTGAAATCAGGGCAAAGCTCCTGCTGTTTTCTTAAGCTTCATGCTGCAGCTGAGCATCATCCCGCTTCCCAGCTCAGTGTGCTGCCTGCTCCTGGCAGGCCTCAGGGCACAAACACCATCTCCAAGGGACTCTGCTTCTTCTTCTTGGCTTTAAGGCCCTTCCAGGATCCCTCTATCTTCTTTCTGAAATATGAGCCTTTCCCAGGGGTGCTTGGCACTAGGAATCGGTGCCTTAATTGAAGGGATTCTCCAAAGCAGCTGGGTAGCTTCTGTAATTCATAGTGGTCTGATTGTCACTGCAGCCACCACAAATCAACACCCAGAGATKGTCTTTGTTTTTGCACCGGGCCGTAGTGGAAGCACATGGGATAAGCTTGCAGCACTGCTGTGGCACTTACACTATAGCAGCCCCTTCCCTCTCAGCCCTGCTTCCAGGGAATCATTGCAGGAGTTACCTTCAAGTCATGGAGCAAAGAAACTGTGGCTGTGCCCAGAGGCACTTCAGAAGCTCTGAGAAGTCTGGTACCAAGAAAAGAGGGAGCAGGAAGCCTGATGAGCCCTGGTTTTGCAGCATGGAAGACATTTGTGCACATGAAAGAGAAAGACAGAGAGAATGCCTTCCACTGCAGATTTTCTGATGTTCACCAAGGGTTGAGCTCACACAACACTCTTTCCTTTAATGSGTCTTAGTGAAGGTTTCTTTTTCATGTTCTCTCTTCTCCGATTTATCCCCTATTTTCATGGAACACATAAGTTCTCATCGTCTGTCRGTTCCATCCCAATGTAAGATTTGCTTGAAATCAGCCCTGTAGCTTCAAAAATCCAGACATGAGAGGAGCAGTACAGCCACACTCAAAAGTCATGCAACAAAAGGTGTTCCCATATCACAAACCAGGCAAAGCCTTCATCCCTTAGAGGAGCTGAACTGATTTCAATGAGTCCTGCTGAAGGGTGCCCACTCARCCTTAGAGGTTCTGTGAATTTGGCAGAGCGCCGTTGCAAGAGAAATCTCATGCTTCAGCTCTGGGCAGGGTCACTTCACCATACACAAACCCACAGTGCCTGCAGGTAGAAAAATGATTCCTCGAAAAGCTAGGTTGGCCCTGCCATAGGCGAGGAGGAAGATTGCAGCTCTCAAACTCCAGCTGTTCCTGACATTTGGAAGCCCAAACCACTAGGATCTCAGCAGGACACTGCGGTGAGAAAGCCCAAAAACCAAACAAGATCCCAGCTGCTTCTCACAGGATACCACTGCAAGAATACTCACAAAGCTCAAATTCCAGGCAGCAAGGATGGGACCCTGCAGAGAGGAAGACAAAAGGGCTGAAATATGGGCTGTAGTATTGCCCCAAGGACACACTGGTCTGCAGTCTTGCCCTTTGGCCAGTTTGGGGCACGGGAAGGAAGAATTCAGACGAAAAAATACACTAGGAAGAATTCAGAAGGAAGAATTCACACACCCAGGTTCAAGCAAATGCACAGCCACTGACTCCAAACCTTTGCTGGGACAAAGAGCTTAAAGACTAACCATGAAAAAACACCAACACTTCGCTGTATATAAAAACCCTGCTCTCCCATCGTGCCTCCCCAACAGTGATTAGATGCCTAATTTGTTAGGCAGCAAGAGAGAATGAGAAGGCTCAGGGGAGAAAAATGAAGCAGCTCAAAAGCATGAAAGAGAGAGCTTTAGAAGCATAAATCTTATTTTAGAGTGATAAATACTGGCAGAAAGGTCTTTCATATGACTGTGGTTCCCTGGCAGGCCAGAAAGCCACTTTTGTTTTCCAAAGTGAAATGGTTACCTTTTATATTAATATGATTATTGAAGATTAAGGCGGATTTGCATCAAGCCAGCTCCACCCAGACAGCCTGCAGCAGCAGTGCACAGAAGCATGTACATGGGGGCAGGCTTGGGAAACAGCCTTCTCCAGGTAGAAGAGCATGCCAAGATATTAGAGGGGCCAGAAAAAAAATATCAGCAATAAGGCYGCCTTTGGTGCTCTCCCACCAGAGTGGGGAGTAGGGCCTGGGAAACATCACTCCCCTGGTCAACCCATGAGCCCAGAGATGAGGCAGTAGAAAAGCTTAGAAATAATTCCTGCTGGCCATGGGGAGGGAGCATAGGCTCTCT